AATTTAACTTCCAGTAAATTTAATAAAAAAATATTTTCATTTTCCTTCAGGTAGTTTTACATTTTGTAATTTTTTTTTTGTAGTCTATTTCCGCTAACATAGAGGAAATATTATAATATTTATATAAATTATTTTGCATATAAATGTGAACCTTGAGTCAGGATTATATTTCAGAAATTAAGAGAGAGCATTAATACTATGAATTAGTGATACATATTGAAATAATATTTGCCAAAATTTTTCATGTTGGCTTTCTACAGATAAATTAAAAAAAAATGTTATTTACATCATATATCAGTGCATTCAACATAAACAGGCATACATAAATATTTTTAGTCTTTTGTTGTGTCCTTATTTCAACACCGCCATCTCGCTCTCTTTACATCACTGAAGGTGTCCTTCCTTCAACACCACTTCTGCCTCTTTCTCTCTGTGAGAGTCCTTCCTTCAAGGCCATTGTCTCGTTTTTATCTTTTCTGTCATTTTCTTACTTCAGCACCCCATGCCACTTTAACATCTCTGCTCTTGTGGATGTTAGTTTGCTTCGGTGTTTTTCAACATAGATCTTATATGGAAATAATTGGTATAAAATACCGACACATGGAAAAATAAAACACATATGCAGTATAATGTGATCCTTTATTGACACGTTTCACCCATACAGTGGGCTTTTTCATGTCACAACAGGATCTACCTGGGTGGAAAGGTACCCGGATTATTTTATAGTCAGGTTCCAGAATGCTGTTGGTCAGGTGCGAATGCCTGCATCTGATTGATGTACCGAGTGGGGTTATAGAGTCTTTAAAGTCTTGGGTAGTTGGAAGTGAGATTGGATAAGTTTGTGAGCAGACCTTCTGCAGAGTTCTTCCATTCCAAAGTTCTTATGTGGGATAGCGATGAAGAAGTTTCTTGGCAAGTGGTTCATCTGTTTTATAGAAGCCCATTATTCTGGTTGATGTTGTCGGATATAGAGATGTTATGTTTTTATATGTTTGTAGGAAAACGTAGTCAAACAACTTAATCCGATTATACAACATTTATAGAGAGAGATAGTGATGTGATGAGTGTTCTTAGTTGACTTGTTGAATGTCTCTCTCTCTCTCTCCGCTCGCGCTTGTTGTAGAGAGATATTTTAACCGCGGATTTCGCTCTCGCTCACTCTGTGTGCTGTGTGTGTGTGTGTGTGTCAGTGTGTGTGATCCTATATGATGATGAAGAGTTTCTCGCACCAACCCCCCCTCACTCGCGCGAGATATCTCCCCCGCCGTATCTTGAGATGTTGTGTGTATGTGTGTTGTGTTTGAGGTGTGTGAGCGCGGTGCGGTAGTGTGAGTTGGGGCGCAGGAAAGGCGGTAGTTTAGTATACCCCTGCGGAGGGGATGGAAGCTTGTCATGTCTATCACTGGTAATGTCCTTGATGGTCGTGGTTTTGGAGGTAGATTTGGAAGAGGTATTGAAAAAAGATGTTGGAGAACCGCGCTCTCGCGCGCGCCAATGGAGTTGGTGGGGAGGACTATGTATCTCTTCTCGGGCTGTGTTCTTCTCTGGGTGTGTTGAAGAGGTTTAATACCGTCGTCTGCAGTCTCTTATGAAGTGTAGAGGATAGTGGAGTTTAGAAAAAATACTTGTTCAATTATAGTGCATTATGCCTACAAGAAACTATATATGCTGCAGATTCTGAGTGCAAGCAGGAGAAGCCTATAATTTTTTTTTTTGATTGTTACCAACCAAGTTTAGTATTTTTGGGGTGGCGTTTGGGTGAGTGTAGAGGTGGAGAAGATCGTTTTGGTTGGTGGGTTTTCGAATAGACTTTAAAACGAAGTTCGTGGTCAGCTTTGCAGAGAAGATATCGAGGAAAGGAAGAGTGTTGTCGGTATTCTTCTTCAAGTGTCCGTCTCCCTGGATTGAAGGTTCAACTCTCTGTTGAGATCCTGTCTTGGAGAAGCTGAACGTGAAGGTCTGGATGTTTGAGGGAATGTCGTCAAATCATTACAGAGCCAGGTGACCACTCCGAATTGCCCAGCAATGAGTTTCTTGAGGGAAGAAGGCACTATATTTGAACAAGAGAGTGTCTAAACTCACTATCCTCGTCACTTCATCAGAGACTTGCAGGTCGAGGGCATTAAGCCATCTTCAACACACCAGAGAAGACACTGCCGAGAAGACCCCCCCCCCCCCCCCCCCGCCTCGCCCCCTCCCATAGCCCCCGCCCACCACCCACCACCCACAAACTCCTTTGCATAACACACGTTGCACTCTATAACATCTTTTCCAATAATCTCTTTCCAAGTTCCATGTATAGACCACATCCACTCCCCCTACCACCTCCCGCCCCCCTCTGGAATTAACAGGCTAGACAGGAACATTCCGCCCACCCCCCTTCTCCATCCTCCGCAAGGGGTATAACATAATCTCTTGTATTGGACTGCAACAAATTATTACGTGGGCGAAACATCAAGAGTCCTTCAAACACGTATTTCGGAACTCCAATTGGCAAGCAGGTCTGACGATTACAAGGATGCCGTGCCCCCCTTCATCCTTCACTCCCCCCCCCTCGTTAGTTTCACTTAATAAAACTACAGAAACTCCAAGAACTATCGCCCAGAAGACAGCCATCAGTACCGATGAATCAACCTGGAATCATCACTTATGTCTTTATCCGACAAACTTCAACCGAATAAATGGCTTCTATACATAGATGAACCACTTGCCAAGTAACTTCTTCTTCGATATACCACATAAGAACAAAGGAATGGAAAACACGCAGAAGGTCTGCTCACAAACTTATCAATCTCATTCACAAGGTACCCCAGACTTCAGATCTATAATACCCCCCCACTCGGGTACATCACAGATGCAGCATTCTCCACCTGAACCTCAGCATTCTGACCTGACTATAAATACTCCCACGCCTACCTTCCAACCCAGGTAGATCTGTTTGTGACTTGAAAAAAAAAGCCCACTGTGTGGGCGAAACGTTGTCAAATAGGTTCCTCACTCCGTAGACTGCTTAAGTGTTTTTATTTCCATAGTGTGTGTAGTATAAATATCATTTCCTCGCCCCCCCCGCCCCCCCCCCTCTCCCCCCCCTCCGGGAAATATTGAAAAAAAAAAACAATAAACACTAAGAAATATATGAACACCTGAGGAACAATAAAAAACGGACCTTAGGTAAACTTACAAAGTAGTCTTGTACCACCAACTGTCAAGCTTGTGTCGTCGACCTTCTGCGACAGTCAATTTGTGCCTGGACTGTACAGACTGACCGGGCTTCCATGTTTGTCCTATTCTCAGCTGTCTCCCTGAACTTCCATCTGTTGCCCAGGGTGAACATGCTGACCCCCTGACTGCATGATATACCCCCCGGGGAAACAACATTCATAGAGAGTTGCAAAGAGGTGAGGAATGTTCAGCTGGAGAAAGAGTTCCCCCCCCCCCGTACAGATTATTGTTGGAAAAGAGGTCAAACGATATGACTGAGGACATAAATACAGTACTATTAATCTCGACATGTCACTTCGTAATGGGATTATAAATAAAAATATTAAAATAAATATGTTTATTTCCTTTACAATGTCGTAATTACAATTTTGATTTGCTAAGTACAAAGACAACCCACCCCCTCCCACATCCCTCCCCTCTCTCCACCCAGAGCCCGCTTTTCGGCCCGCACTAAACATCCTATATATAGTAACTATTAAGAAAACTAGTCTGTTATAGTACAAGTGTAATTTTACTTAATAAACATGGAATAGTGGCTTAGATGTTTCATCACAATTCTTATTTGAACTCTATTAAATCTTATGCTAATCTAGTAATAAATTAACTTACAAGTAATGGTGCGGGTGGTAATATTTTATGGAATGCAGATTAAAAGTAGGAGGTCACATAAGGAATAATTAGCAAGATGTTTTGGGCAGGTTGGTATTACTTGTGATTCATAAATGTTTTATGGTTCTGGCTGAAAAAGAACCTAGAGGTTCACATGAAGATAAAACTTGTTGGCTGATGATTTGGTTGATTTGGTTAATATTGTGAGATAAGATGATTTTTACTTGCAAAGTCCTAAATTTTTAAGCTGTCTGGGGAACCTTGACCTGTGATATGAGTACGGTTCCAGATCTTCGCCGCCCCCAACCTCCCCTCTCTCCCCGGCGTCCGCATAGCGTTTCCTCATAGTGAGAGTCTGCTGAACATTTCATTTCGAGGGATGTTGAAAAGTGCCTTAGGCCTTGTTATTGTGACTGTGCATTCTATTGTAACTGTCAAGGAGTGGGTTGTTGGGAAGGGTTGGCAGTGGAGTTTATAGTGTGTTTTGTTGTAGGTACAATATTATATTGCGGTTTGTCGTTCATATTTGCAAGTTGAGTCTTTTGAAGATGTGCTGGTATGTGCCTGTCTAGACTCTAAAAAGGTTTACCAAGGCGGCTCCTCCTCAGGAAAATTAATGAATAGAAAAAGAAATAATAACAAACATAAACACTTTATTATATAGAAAATATAAAATATAAAGCACTTAAATATGAAATATTAATCCTACATTAAAGAAAATGAAAAATGAAAAATATAAATGATAACTGAATTCAATGCTAATATATATATATATATAAAACTTGGGTGTCTGGTGTTGGTGACACTGCATGTTGTTGAAATCGTAGCCATTGCTAATGATGGGGGTGGGGTCGCAGGTGTTGATGACAACCCACCGGCTCGTTCTTCACAGATTTTCTAGCCGTCAATAATCCGTCTAGATGATAGGAAAGCAGGTTTTTTTCCACTGCAATGATGAGGGGTTATATCCTGCTACTTGCATACACAAACAGGTAAGTGGATCATAAAATTTGGGACGTCTCAGAACGTTAGTCCGTCTCCTTCAATTCTACTCGTTGATTAGCAGGTGACCCCCTCTGTCCTTTCAAGAGTAGTGTTGGGAGCTGCGAGTCGAGTGATTTACTGTTTGACCAGAGCCCCACACGTCACCTTTCGGGGGGGGGAAGAGGGAGGGGAAGGGATAGAGGGAGCTAGACTGACCCTACCTTAACAAGCAGCCGGCAATCAAACTATCACTTTCGGGGAGGGGGAAAAAGGGGGGGGGGAAGCGGGAGTGGGACTTACCCTACCTTAAATTAACAAGTAGCCGGCAATGAAACTATTGTTACTATACACTCCCTCGCTACTCCTATCTATTGAACTTTTCCCTCACATACCTTTACTCTTTATTATCCCTACAGTAGAGAAACTAATACACTAGCCACAGCTGCTTATCGTGCTTTACGGGCGATTACAAATAAGGTATAAAATTTGCGTCAGTAAAAGCCATAGAAATATTGCAAACCAATATTAAAAATTTTCAACGAGCAAAAGAAAAATGACATGATATTCGATGGTGACAGTTTCCAACTACTTATATGTAGAATCAAAAATAAATTACTCGTTGCCAACAGAGGATGGCAAACTCAGGCAGGCTATCCTAAGCCGTAGCCTGCTAGATAATCATGGTTCTTGTTAGCCAGTTGACTTAGTTTCATACATTCATACTTACAGTGTTTACCGACGTTCGTATCAAACAGGTCACCAAAGGAGAGCTCGCCCCTGTACTGGAACTCATAGCGGTAAGTGTTACGGTGGTGAGCGTGATGGGCGTAGTACTGCGTCACAAGGTCGTAATCCACCATGAAGTGAATATCGCTGTACAGCTGGCAGAAACAATGTTTGCATAATATTAACTATAGTTACAGGAGAAAATACCTATGCTCACTCTTTCTAGTGAGCTTAATTTGTTGATGAATTGGTTAAAACTTCTCTTCCAACTGTGACTTCTTGCTCTTTCTGTGGCAGTGTTAAGAAATCTTTTATTATCGTAAAATTTTGTGCCTGGCTTCACGTACTTTGCCCTTAGGATGGAGTACATACGTGAACACTTTATCCATTGCATAAACATTATATCATGAAGCTCAATAATCTGCATGTATACTCTAGCCCTTGAAATTGAGTATGTACATGTATGCAAAGTCTTATGAATCTATGGATTAATACTCAAGCACGTACCTGCGTGTACCTTAGGCCCATTGATATAAATACCTATGAATGCCTATAGCTCTCACGTTCTTGTACTTGCACATAATGTACCAAACCCTCGGGTTAGCGTACTTGTGTGAGGGCTTCACTGTGATCCTCGTCTATGTTGAGTCCTTTCCCTAGATAGTAAAAGTACACTCGCCTCGCCATCTCGACCACGTCTTCCCCGTCCACTGCCTCCATCAGTTGTATACTAGCAGGACCAGTCGTTGTGAAATTGGCCTTTAGATCATTAATCAGGTTTCTATTGGCAAACATGGCTGAGGGAGAGAATAAAAGGGTTTCATTGTTAATCATGAAAGTGACTGATATATTAATCTTTGCAATAAGTACCGAACCCCGATTTCTCTTTAATAGATATTTGATTAATTTTATGGTTAGATATTATGCTAGAATGCAACTGATAGATAATTATTTAATAACAAGAAAGTTTTTTCCTGCAGTTATCAAATAGTTGATTTATGAGTCATCAAGACTGTACTTAATCTTAAAATAGGAATTAAATTATTCTTAGTGTACGTACTGAACACATACTTAAAAGATTTCTTACAAGCTATAAGAAGAGGGGGGATAGGCAGGCTTGTTAAAGCTCCTGGAGAGCGAAACGTTGCCACAATAAAATGTCACACAGAATGATAGATACTACTGTACAGGAAAAACGCAGCTGGGAATTATATCTTGAGCCTCTTTAAGTGTAAACATATGACTTAGTCAATAAATGGATATTGCGAACACAGGTATAAAATGGCCTGCACACCTTGCCATAATTGAACAAATAGTCGAGCAAATAAAAGACAAGAACAGTGTATGACTTGTATTTTCTTAATGACTCCCAAATCGCAATGACACGATTGCAAACAAACCATACCACGGATGGGGATAGCTGGTATTTACCGTGATCAAAGGAGGCAAAATGCAAGAGACAGAGAATGCACAATGAAAGACCAGCAGCCCAGACAAGACTGATAACACCAGCATCGCAAGTAAACCACATTACTTTGCAGCTTTGGCAGGCTAGTCTGTGATTCGCCGATGATCTAGGTATTGATATAACGGCAGGCCCTTATTGATTGTTAAATCCTTAGCACCTGGTTAGCTGATAGAGAAGCAGCCTCTATGGGAGTGTGACATACGCCTAATAAAATGTAACATACTTATAGCTTGCCACACCCCCATCCCCAGAACGGCTCTAATAGCCAGGACTGGGCATTCCCTCCATGGGTAGTGTGCCGTCATGGCAGTGAATACTAATGGAACTGCCTTTCCTCTCAACCATCCAGCTCATTAGATAGTGTTCAATTTCAACAGACTTCCAGTCAAACACATTCCTAGAGCGACACAGCAGACAGTAGGGGTAGCATTGGTTGAAGACACTTGCGGATGGCAACAAGTGTCCCCTCACTAAAAAAGAAAACCTTATGGTCAGATTAACAAACATTTTTATATTATGACCATAAATTAAAAATAAAAGAGCTTACTGCCAATGTGGTCCCTAACACATCCTAACCTATATACGAGACTAAAAGTCAGACAGAATATTACCTTTTCCGGCTATATGGCAAATCAAAAGATTGTATGGTTGCAGTCTGAGGCTCCACCTCATCAACCGGGCATTATAATTCTTATTGGCATTTATGTAGGTGAGATGGTTGTGGTCACTGTAGACGATCACATTAGATGACTTCCCAATAAAATGTCAGAATTCTCCAGTAGAAGTATCAAGACTAGAGCTTCTTCCTCGATGGTGGAGTAGGCCTATTGATGGGCCTGATACTTGCCTGAGTAACACTACAAAAGCTACGAACATTCCTCTCAGACAGTTGTAGTAATACTGCCCCTACCTCTGACTCACAGGCAACAACCTGTACATGCATCAACCTACACAGGCATCAACCTGCAGTTGGGAGACTGGAGAATGGGTGCAGTACACAGTAGACGTGGTCCAATAAAATTTTATTTTATTACTGGTAAGTGAGGTGACGAGGGGCTACTACATCTGCAAAGTTCCTACAAAAATGCCTGTCGAAAACTTTCTTTCCCAAAAATCATGAGGTACTAAGTAATGCTTAATAACTAAGATTTTATCAAATTTAGGGGCCACTTTACCACTGTCTACTTCATGGCCCAAGAAAGTAATAGTAGAGTGGCCTAAAGATGATTTACACACGTCTGTGTAAATCGTTTTTGGCCGTCTCTATTATTTTTTTGGGTTACTTTTGCTTGGGTTACATTATTTCGGGTTAAATGTTGTTGAAAGTTTCTGCACTTCTCAAAGAGAGTTTAAATTTGAGTACATGTAGATTCCATGTTTTGGAAACAAATTTTATAAGTCCAAAATAAGCTGTAGTGTCTTCAAGTCCTTTAATGCCTAATGGATCAGCTTTTGGAAGTGGCAGGTTGTTCTGCGTTCCGAATGGGCATAGTTATTTGAAAATGCCCTCTGGAATTAAAAAGAGAGACTCCTTTGTTTTTTTTTAAAGGAAACCCTTTTGGGGTTTTTTTGGGAAAATGAAAAGGGCCCTTCCCCGCAAAGCCCAAAATCATCCAAATGGGCAGGGGTAAGTCTGGAACGGTGACCTTTTCACTTTCCATTGTCTGTACACACCCAGAATCCTCCATGGGACTTTTTTAACAAGGATGCACAGTGAAGTCCATTGACTGGTGCTTCCCCCAAAAATCCAGTTCTAACAAAAATGCTACCTCCTGCTGAAGGAGCTTCTTTTTCAGGATTAGCTCGCAGGAGAAGGTTTATAGGCCAAGTAGTTCCAAAATCAACATCTGATATCCCCGGGTTGGGGTTTTTTTAAAACATTCGAAAATATTCAAGATAAATTTTACAAGAGTTTTAATCTTATTTAAATTTTAGGAAGTTCCAAATTAAGGAGCGGATCCTGGGGAGGGTTGATTTGGAGCTTTTTTTGGACCTCCAAATTTTGAGCAAGGAAACAGAGTTGTTACGAGGCAAGGACAAATTTTGGGATTCGGTGGGTCATTCAAAAACTTTGATGTGATTTTAAATTTTGTGGTAAATTTCGTGCCTTTAGCTTTTCAAGAGGTGTTTTCCCCAAAAATTTAAACCGAAATTTTACTAATTATTTTTTCATTGGTCCATAAAATTAGTTTTTTTTTGGTGTGCCAGGGAGGGTCCAGTACAGCACCTTGTCTCCTGGATTTAAAAGGGAAAGCAACTTTTGCATTTCTTCAACTTGTTTCATAGTTTTTGAACGATTTAAGTTAGAACCAAAGAGTGACCTGCAACCCAGAAGAAAAATTGTAGAGAAAAATTTAAAATTTTCTCCCCCCATCCCTTCCCTTTAACGCTCGTAGGGGACCTCTCCTTTTACCTGAAAATTGCTCAAATGGACTGTACCCTGTTGATTCCCCCAAGTTTCTTCCATCCAAACAGAACGAGGAAGGATTCAATTGGTAGTCTACAGAAAATGAATGCAAAAGGTCCTCGTGATAATTTTTAAAGTTTGGTGAAATTTTTCCATGATCTTTTGGGACGGAGGATGATAGGCTGTGGATAGCTGGTGATTAATACCTCGCCTAGTTAAAGCCTCTCTGAATTATTTTGCTGTAAAATTAGTACCCTGGTTACTCTGAACAGAGTTTGGAATTCCAAAGTAGGAAATGAATTTAGCAAGAGCTTTTAGAATGGCTTTAGTGTTTATACTACGCATTGGGACTGCTTCTGGATACCTAGTAGCTTTGTCCATGACTGTGAACAAATACTTGTTACCTGACTTTGCCTTTGGTAATGGTCCCACACAGTCAATAATTAACTCAGTAAAGGGTTCCCCATCCCCAGGAATAGGATGAAGTATTGCGGGTCTAATGAAGTGTCCAGGTTTGCCTACTCGTTGACATTCCGTACTGGAACGGATGTGACTCCACACATCTCGCCTTATGGCTGGCCAAAAAAGTATCTTTTAATATTCTAAAAAGGGTTTTAGAAATCAAATGACCTTCTAAAGAAGAATTACGAGTTATATTCTGGATTTGAGACATGAATTTCTTAGGAACTATCAATCTATCTAATTTTAGGCGTCTCCCTATCTGAAGATTTAAACACTTACGCAACATATGGGAATCTTTATTAAGGAAACGTTTCGCCACCCAGTGGCTTCATCAGTCCAAAACAAAGTAGAAATGGCCAAAGAGAGAAGTAGTTTGAGGTGATCAGTCCCTCAGCCTGGAATCGATGTGCTCAGTCCATCACTTTTGTATAAAGTACAGCATATGTCCGGAGAAGTGGCTTATGTACTGTAGTCAGGTGAGTCGAAGCAGGGGGAGGCGGGATCACAGTGGAACCATCCACCAGTGTAAGTAGGTCATCGTCCAAAGGTTGGACAAATGTTGAAGAATTCCTTGTATCAAGATCCCATGATTTGGTCTACAAATACCGAAAATTAATCAGTATTATCTCTGACTCCTGGTGTTGCCTCCCTTCGCGTCACTGCTGTGACCAACACAATCATTTACTTTTAACACTAATATGACTATTAACCCCTAGCTAATAAAGAATGTTTTTGACATTTTTTAGAGAAAACTCAGGAACAGTAGTTACGTTAATATTAAGAGAAAGAGGAATGGATCTTCACGTTAGTCATAAACAGAAACTGACCATGAGTAGCGAAGGCACCTTCGTCTCCAGTCACTCCGGCCATCAGGTCCACCTTGTGGTATCTTCCTTCAAGGACCAACTTTGCAGGGTCATCAGGGATGAAGTCTCCATCCACCCGAGGACCGAAGATCAATGGTAAGATGTGCCATTGCTGCATAGAGGAGTAATGCCAGAGTTAGGTGGAAATAGAACTAGGCAAGGGTGTCCATATACTGGTAAATACTAAAAGAAAAACAGTAGGTATTAGTTTTAGAATGGTGCTGCAATTATTTGTAGGAGTGTGGAAGTGAGTTGACAGGGTGTGGGAATAACTTGGAGCGATGTGAGGAGTGATTTGTAGATGAAGGAAAAAGCTGTAAGGAATATTGGAGTGACTTGTAGCTGAGTAGGAGTGATTTGTTGATGAAGGAGACTGAGATACATAGGTGTGGGAAGGGATGCTTTTCTGAATGCGGTTGTTGAGTGGAAACAAGCTGAAAAGCTAAATATCCTCCACATCTAAGTCTCTAAAGTTGCAGTTGAATTCCCCTTAATGCTATATAGCTGGACCAAGAACTAGGGCTGCACTCCTGCACGAGGCCCGAACCTCAACCATTTCAAACATAGCTAAGTTAACGATATTCCAAGGAGATTGTGCTTAACCCTCTAAAACATATAATTAGAAAAGCCGGCTGTTAGGGCTGAGCCTCATCAAACAAGTAATACTAAACAGTAAGCTTTGCAGTATTAATATATATTAGTGATTTAATATTCACTGCTGTGGAGAGATTCATTCACGAAATATATGAAAAATACAACATAGGAAAAAATAAAATGAAAAATTATACCTAAACCTCCTAAAGTGTCTTCACTGGGAGTTTTAGTAAACATTATCTTTAATAAATCAGAAATGGTATATACAAGATTTAGATATACATAGACAGTGGGTGAAGGATTTCATAAATCATCTTAAACCAATGGTAGTAAAACAAGAAAGAATAAGTTAAAAAATTATCCTTAGCCCAAAATGCTCACGAGCACTAAACTTGATCTGGATATATAATACATGATATATCCAATCTGATGTGAAGACTAACTAGGAAGCTACAGTTTAATACCAGCCATTTATTCTGTTAAACTACGTAGTAGGTTAGTAGCCATGAGCAACCCAGGAAGGTACTACCGTTTTGCGAAATTAAGATAAAACACACAAAGTCCTAGATGGACCATTTACAAGTCACACTAACACACGAGAGTGAGAAAGCTAGTATATATAAAGGCGAGCAGAACAGAGATGGGAAGAAAGAAGAAAGAAAGAAGTTGAGAAGTAGTGGTAGGGGTAATGCTGGTAGTGGAAGAAGTAGTGGATATCGAACAGGCGTGTGTGAGCGTGTTAGGAGTGGAGCCAAGTGGTTTTTACGACTTTATGTGCTGTTGGAGTATGAGCAAGGTAACATTTATGGGGTCAAAGAAACTGGTTTGCCATACTTGAATCCTGGAGGTGGGAAGTACAGTTCCTGCGCTTCGAAGGGTGAGTAAGAATATTGAAGTTTGGAAGGACATTTGAGATATAATGTTGGAGTGCCTCTGGCAAGATGGTAATTAAGTGAGTGATTATGAAAGTGTTTCTTCCTTTTTTGGTCACCCTACCTTGGTGGGAGACGGCCGATGTGTTTAAAAAGAATGTACTGTTTTCGGCAAAAAAAATTTAAACTAATGCAGAAACTATATATTGTTTAGTATTTTGCTAACATGGGTTTATTTCCAGCACAACAAAACGTGGTTGCTTTTAAAGGATGTTTGTGTGTTTCACATTCAAATAGAAAATCAATTTAAGACTATTCGTTTAAAAGAGATGTTAGTTTCATGCTAATGAGGTCACGACAGTTAAAATAATATGTTTTATATTTAGGTAGTAGGTTGGTAGACAGCAACCACCCAGGGAAGTACTACCGTCCTGTCAGATGATTGTGAAACAGAAACCTGTAACTGTTTTGCATGATGGTAGGATTGCTGGTTTCTTTTTCTGTCTCATAAACACGCTAGATAACAGGGATATCTTGCTACTCCTACTTACACTTTGGTGACACTTCACAGACACGCACGTGCATATATATATATACATACATCTAGGTTTTTCTCCTTTTTCTAAATAGCTCTTGTTCTTCTTTATTTCTTCTATTGTCCATGGGGAAGTGGAAAAGAATCTTTCCTCCGTAAGCCATGCGTGTCGTATGAGGCGACTAAAATGCCGGGAGCAATGGGCTGGTAACCCTTCTCCTGTAGACATTTACTAAAAAAGAGAAGAAGAAAAACTTTATAAAACTGGGATGCTTGAATGTGCGTGGATGTAGTGCGGATGACAAGAAACAGATGATTGCTGATGTTATGAATGAAAAGAAGTTGGCCCTAAGCGAAACAAAGCTGAAGGGGATAGGGGAGTTTCGATGGGGGGAAATAAATGGGATTAAATCTGCAGTATCTGAGAGAGTTAGAGCAAAGGAAGGGGTAGCAGTAATGTTGAAGGATCAGTTATGGAAGGACAAAAGAGAATATGAATGTGTAAATTCAAGAATTATGTGGATTAAAGTAAAGGTTGGATGCGAAAAGTGGGTCATAATAAGCGTGTATGCACCTGGAGAAGATAGGAATGTAGAGGAGAGAGAGAGATTTTGGGAGATGTTAAGTGAATGTACAGGAGCCTTTGAACCAAGTGAGAGAGTAATTGTGGTAGGGGATCTGAATGCTAAAGTAGGAGAAACTTTTAGAGAGGGTGTGGCAGGTAAGTTTGGGGTGCCAGGTGTAAATGATAATGGGAGCCCTTTGATTCAACTTTATATAGAAAGGGGTTTAGTTATAGGTAATACATATTTTAAGAAAAAGAGGATAAATAAGTATACAAGATATGACGTATGGCGTAATGACAGTAGTAAGTTGGATTATGTATTTGTGGATAAAAGACTGTTGAGTAGACTTAAGGATGTACATGTTTATAGAGGGGCCACAGATATATCAGATCACTTTCTAGTTGTAGCTACACTGATAGTAAAAGGTAGATGGGATACAAGGAGAATAGAAGCATCAGGGAAGAGAGAGGTGAAGGTTTATAAACTTAAAGATGAGGCAGTGAGGGTAAGTTATAAACAGCTATTGGAGGATAGATGGGCTAATGAGAGCATAGGAAATGAGGTCGAAGAGGTATGGGGTAGGTTTAAAAATGTGGTGTTAGAGTGTTCCGCAGAAGTTTGTGGTTACAGGAAAGTGGGTGCGGGAGGGAAGAGAAGCGATTGATGGAATGATAATGTAAAGAGAGTAGTAAGGGAGAAAAAGTTAGCATATGAGAAGTTTTTACAAAGTAGAAGTGATGCAAGGAGGGAAGAGTATATGGAGAAAAAGAGAGAGGTTAAGAGAATGGTGAAGCAATGTAAAAAGAGAGCAAATGAGAGAGTGGGTGAGATGTTATCAACAAATTTTGTTCAAAATAAGAAAAGTTTTGGAGTGAGATTAACAAGTTAAGGAAGCCTAGAGAACAAATGGATTTGTCAGTTAAAAATAGGAGAGGAGAGTTATTAATTGGAGAGTTAGAGGTATTGGGAAGATGGAGGGAATATTTTGAGGAATTGTTAAATGTTGATGAAGATAGGGAAGCTGTGATTTCGTGTATAGGGCAAGGATGAATAACATCTTGTAGGAGTGAGGAAGAGCCAGTTGTGAGTGTGGGGGAAGTTCGTGAGGCAGTAGGTAAAATGAAAGGGGGTAAGGGAGCCGGGATTGATGGGATAAAGATAGAAATGTTAAAAGCAGGTGGGGACATAGTTTTGGAGTGGTTGGTGCAATTATTTAATAAATGTATGGAAGAGGGTTAGGTACCTAGGGATTGGCATGCATAGCTCCTTTGTATAAAGGCAAAGGGGACAAAAGAGAGTGCAAAAATTATAGGGGGATAAGTCTGTTGAGTATACCTGGTAAAGTGTATGGTAGAGTTATTATTGAAAGAATTAAGAGTAAGACGGAATAGGATAGCAGATGAACAAGGAGGCTTTAGGAAAGGTAGGGGGTGTGTGGACCAGGTGTTTACAGTGAAACATATATTTTAGTGAACAGTATTTAGATAAGGCGTATGACAGGGTGGATAGGGGGGCAATGTGGCAGATGTTGCAGGTGTATGGTGTAGGAGGTAGGTTACTGAAAGCAGTGAAGAGCTTTTACGAGGATAGTGAGGCTCAAGTTAGAGTATGTAGGAAAGAGGGAAATTATTTCCCAGTAAAAGTAGGCCTTAGACAAGGATGTGTGATGTCACCGTGGTTGTTTAATATATTTATAGATGGGGTTGTAAGAGAAGTAAATGCGAGGGTCTTGGCAAAGAGGCGTGGGGTTAAAAGATAAAGAATCACATATAAAGTAGAAGTTGTCACAGTTGCTCTTTGCTGATGACACTGTGCTCTTGGGAGATTCTGAAGAGAAGTTGCAGAGATTGGTGGATGAATTTGGTAGGGTGTGCAAAAGAAGAAAATTAAAAGTGAATACAGGAAAGAGTAAGGTTATGAGGATAACAAAAAGATTAGGTGATGAAAGATTGGATATCAGATTGGAGGGAGAGAGTATGGAGGAGGTGAATGAATTCAGATATTTGGGAGTGGATGTGTCAGCGGATGGGTCTATGAAAGATGAGGTGAATCATAGAATTGATGAGGGGAAAAGGGTGAGTGGTGCACTTAGGAGTCTGTGGAGACAAAGAACTTTGTCCTTGGAGCAAAGAGGGGAATGTATGTGAGCATAGTTTTACCAATGCTCTTATATGGGTGTGAAGCATGGGTGATGAATGTTGCAGCGAGGAGAAGGCTGGAGGCAGTGGAGATGTCATGTCTGAAGGCAATGTGTGGTGTGAATATAATGCAGAGAATTCGTAGTTTGGAAGTTAGGAGGAGGTGCGGGATTACCAAAACTGTTGTCCAGAGGGCTGAGGAAGGGTTGTTGAGGTGGTTCGGACATGTAGAGAGAATGGAGCGAAACAGAGTGACTTCAAGAGTGTATCAGTGTGTAGTGGAAGGAAGGCGGGGTAGGGGTCGGCCTAGGAAAGGTTGGAGGGAGGGGGTAAAGGAGGTTTTGTGTGCGAGGGGCTTTGACTTCCAGCAGGCATGCATGAGCGTGTTTGATAGGAGTGAATGGAGACAAATGGTTTTTAATACTTGACGTGCTGTTAGAGTGTGAGCAAAGTAACATTTATGAAGGGATTCAGGGAAACCGGCAGGCCGGACTTGAGTCCTGGAGATGGGAAGTACAGTGCCTGCACTCTGAAGGAGGGGTGTTAATGTTGCAGTTTAAAAACTGTAGTGTAAAGCACCCTTCTAGCAAGACAGTGATGGAGTGAATGATGGTGAAAGTTTTTCTTTTTCGGGCCACCCTGCCTTGGTGGGAATCGGCCAGTGTGTTAATAAAAAAAAAAAATTATTGGTGAGTACTAAATCTAGGTAAGAACTAAATCTATAAAGGTAATATACCACCAGGGAATATAATCAGGATAGCTCTGAGGAAGCGGATGCTATCTCTAATTAATTGACTCAAGAACGCTTCATCAGAAAATGATAAGGCAAATTGTTATTAAGTTTGCAACACAAATTTTCTAGGCCTGGAAATGTGCTGAAGATTAACACTTTTAAAACTAACAAGTGGAAAGCTCACTCCAAATTCTGTACATTTGTAAATGTAGAGGTGATACAAATGAGTGAATATCTCAAATTTAACTTCAGTAAATTTAATAAAAAAATAATTCATTTGCCTTCAGGTAGTTTTACATTTTGTAATTTTTTTTTGTAGTCTATTTCCGCTAACAAAAATATTATAATATTTATAAAATATTTTGCATATAAAAGTGAACCTTGAGTCAGGATTAAATTTCAGAAATTAAGAGAGAGCATTAACCTATGAATTAGTGATACAATATTGAAATAATATTTGCCAAAATTTTCATGTTGGCTTTCACAGATAAATTAAAAAAAATGTTATTTCACATCATATATCAAGTGCATTCAACATAAACACGCATACATAAATATTTATTCTTTCTGTTGTGTCCTTCCTTCAACACCGCCACTCTCACTCTTACATCACTGAAGGTGTCCTTCCTTCAACACCACTTCTGCTCTTTCTACTCTGTGAGAGTCCTTCCTTCAAGGCCATTGTCTCTTTTTTATCATTTCTGACATTTTCCTTACTTCAGCACCACCACTGCCACTTTACCATCTCTGCTCTTTGTGGATGTTAGTGCTTTCGGTGTTTTCAACATAGATCTTATATGGAAATAAATGGTATAAAATACCGACACAATGGAAAAATAAACACATATGCAGTATAATGTGATCCTTTATTGACAACGTTTCACCCATACAGTGGGCTTTTTCAAGTCACAAACAGATCTACCTGGGGTGGAAGGTACCCGAGTATTTATAGTCAGGTTCAGAATGCTGAGGTCAGGTGGAGAATGCTGCATCTGATGATGTACCGAGTGGGGTTATAGAGTCTAAAGTCTTGGGTAGCTTGGAAGTGAGATTGGATAAGTTTGTGAGCAGACCTTCTGCAGTGTTCTTCCATTCCTATGTTCTTATGTGGGATAGCGATGAAGAAGTTTCTTGGCAAGTGGTTCAGCTGTGTTATAGAAGCCATTATTCTGGTTGATGTTGTCGGATATAGAGATAAGTGATGATTCCAGGATTCTTCGGTACTGAGTGTTGTCTTCTGGCGATAAGTCTTGAGTTTCTGTAGTTTATTAAGTGGTTGTGTGAATTACGATGTTGTACACAGGCATTCCTTGTATCGTCAGACCTGCTTGCCTATTGGTGTTCTGAAATACGTGTTTGTAGGTCTCTTGATGTTTCGCCCACGTATAATTTGTTGCAGTCATTACAAGGGATTATGTATACCCCTGCGGAGGATGGAAGCTTGTCCTGTCTATCACTGGTAATGTCCTTGATGGTAGTGGTTGTGGAGGTAGATACTTGGAATGAGTTATTGGAAAAGATGTTGGAAACGTGTTTGGCAATGGAGTTGGTGGGGAGGACTATGTATCTCTTCTCGGCAGTGTCTTCTCTGGGTGTGTTGAAGATGTTTAATGCCCGTCGTCTGCAGTCTCTTATGAAGTGACGAGGATAGTGGAGTTTAGAAAATACTTGTTCAATTATAGTGCATTCTTCCTCAAGAAACTCATTGCTGCAGATTCTGTCACCTGGCTCCGTTATGTTGACGACATTCTCCTCATAACTCCTAGACGCTTCAACGTTCAAGCTCTCCAAGACAAGCTCAACCAGGTTGAACCTTCAATCCAGTTCACACTTGAAGAAGAATTCGACAACACTCTTCCTTTCCTTGATGTTCTTCTCTGCAAAGCTGACCACGAACTTCGTTTTAAAGTCTATCGAAAACCCACCAACCAAAACGATCTTCTCCACATCTACTCTCACCGCAACGCCAAAACTAAACGTGGTGTAATTATAGGCTTCTTCCTGCGTGCACTCAGAATCTGCAGCAATGAGTTTCTTGAGGAAGAATGCACTATAATTGAACAAGTATTTTCTAAACTCCACTATCCTCGTCACTTCATAAGAGACTGCAGACGACGGGTATTAAACATCTTCAACACACCCAGAGAAGACACTGCCGAGAAGAGATACATAGTCCTCCCCACCAACTCCATTGCCAAACACGTTTCCAACATCTTTTCCAATAACTCATTCCAAGTATCTACCTCCACAACCACTACCATCAAGGACATTACCAGTGATAGACAGGACAAGCTTCCATCCTCCGCAGGGGTATACATAATCTCTTGTAATGACTGCAACAAATTATACGTGGGCGAAACATCAAGAGACCTACAAACACGTATTTCAGAACACCAATAGGCAAGCAGGTCTGACGATACAAGGAATGCCTGTGTACAACATCGTAGTTCACTTAATAAACTACAGAAACTCAAGACTTATCGCCACAGAAGACAGCACTCAGTACCGAAGAATCCTGGAATCATCACTTATGTCTATATCCGACAACTTCAACCAGAATAATGGCTTCTATAACATAGCTGAACCACTTGCCAAGAAACTTCTTCATCGATATCCCACATAAGAACAAAGGAATGGAAGAACACTGCAGAAGGTCTGCTCACAAACTTATCCAATCTCACTTCCAAGCTACCCAAGACTTCAGACTCTATAACCCCACTCGGTACATCATCAGATGCAGCATTCTCCACCTGACCTCAGCATTCTGAACCTGACTATAAATACTCGCGTACCTTCCAACCCAGGTAGATCTGTTTGTGACTTGAAAAAGCCCACTGTGTGGGCGAAACGTTGTCAATAAAGGATCACATTATACTGCATATGTGTTTATATTTCCATAGATCTTATATAAATATCATTTGGAAACGGAAATATTGAAAAAAAAAAACAATAAACACTAAGAAATATATGAACTCCTGAGAGAACAATAAAAACGACATAGGTAACTTACAAAGTAGTCTTGTACCACAACTGTCAGCTTGTGTCCGTCGACCTTCTGCAGACAGTCAATTAGTGCCTGACTGTCCTGACTGACCGGGCATCCCATCGTTTGTCCTATCTCCTCAGCTGTCTCCCTGAACTTCCATCCAGTTGCCCAGGGTGACAGAGCTGACCCGGACTGCATGATAACCCGGGAAAACAATCCTTAGGCAAAAGAGGTGAGGAATGTTAGTCCTGGAGAAAGAGTTCAGTACAGATTATTGTTGGAAAAGAGGTCAAACGAAATTGTCTGAGACATAAATACAGTATATTAATCTGAATGTTCACTTCGTAATGGGATTATAAATAAATATTAAATAAATAAAGTTTATTTCTTTGTAAAGGTTACAATGTGTAATTACAATTTTGATTTGCTAAGTACAAAGACAACCACTATCATTCCGAGGCATTTCGGGCAAAAACATCCTAATATATAGTAACTAATTAAAACTAGTCATGATAATAGTACATAGTAATTATACTTAACTAAACATGGAATAGTGGCTAGCTGTTTCACAATCTTATTTGAACTTAATAAATCTTATGTAAACTTAGTACTAAATCTAACTTACAAGTAATGGTGCGGGTGGTAATATTTTATGGAATGGCAGAATTAAAAGTCAGGAGGTCACATAAGACTAATTAGCAGATGTTTTGGCAGGTTTGGTAAATATTGAGAAACAAAATGATTTTATGGATTGGCAGAATAAAGAACCTAGAGGTCACATGATAAAACTAGTTGGCAGATGTTTGGTTGATTTGGTTAATATTGTGAGATAAGATGATTTTTTAGCAAAGTCCTAAATTTATAAGCTGTCTGGGGAACCTTGACCTGTTCCGGTAGCGAGTTCCAGATCTTCGGGCCTTTTATGTGCATAGCGTTCCTACATAGTGAGAGTCTGACTCGAGGGATGTTGAAAAGTGCCTTATGCCTTGTATTGTGACTGTGCATTCTATTGTAACTGTCAAGGAGTGGTTGTAGGGAAGGGTTTGCAGTGGAGTTTAAAGTTGTGTATATGTAGTAGGTACAATAATATAAGTGTATGTCTTTCATATTTAGCAAGTTGAGTCTTTTGAAAAGTGCTGGTATGTGCTGTCTAGCACAGGAGCTGGTTATCACCCGCACAGCAGCTTTTTGTTGGATTATTAAGGGTCTAAGGTGGTTGGCAGTGGTTGAGCCCCAGACACTCTCTAATATATCCTTACCTTATAAGGTGAGGTAAGGATATATTAGAGAGTAGTACAGGGTAAGGAGAGTCGTTTGTGGTACATAGTATCATATCTTGGAAGGATTCCTACTGATTTGGAAATTTTCTTGGCTATGTGATTGGTATGGGACTGAAATTTAAGATTACAGTCTAGGAGAAGACCTAGAAATTTGCCCTCTGTGTCTTGATAAAGAGGAACCATTTAACAGTATGTTGTGTTGAATATTTGAGGTTCTGTTGACACATAGCATGAAGTATGTTTTATCTATGTTGAGAGTGAGTTTGTTGGTCGTCATCCAAGCATATATCTTTAACAGATTATTGTTTACAGTGTTTCCAAGCACAGCTGGGTCTGAATGGGAGTAGACGTATGTAGTGTTATCTGCGAATAGAACTGGTTTAAATTAGACACATGTGCAACTCTTGGGTATCTTTATTGAGGAAACGTTTCGCCACACAGTGGCTTCATCAGTCCATACAAAGGAGAATCTTGAAGAACAGGAGGAGAATGAGGTAATCAGTCCCTCAACCTTGAGTCGATGTGGTCAGTCCATCAATCTTGAATAGAATACGGCATACGTGCTGAGAAGAGCTTATAAACCGTTGGCAGGAGAGGTGCAGAAGTCATAGGTCGTGTAACATTTGTTCAATGTTGAAGTAGGTCGTGCCCAAGAATTAGGAAAGCGAAGAATTCCCAAGTATTAAGATCCCAAGAAGTTGCAGTGTCTGACAGGTTTGTAGATGAATGGTTCAGAGAACCGACATGTTGATAAATTAGACACATGTGCAACTCTTGGGTATCTTTATTGAGGAAACGTTTCGCCACACAGTGGCTTCATCAGTCCATACAAAGGAGAATCTTGAAGAACAGGAGGAGAATGAGGTAATCAGTCCCTCAACCTTGAGTCGATGTGGTCAGTCCATCAATCTTGAATAGAATACGGCATACGTGCTGAGAAGGAGCTTATAAACCGTTGGCAGGAGAGGTGCAGAAGTCATAGGTCGTGTAACATTTGTTCAATGTTGAAGTAGGTCGTGCCCAAGAATTAGGCAAGCGAAGAATTCCCAAGTATTAAGATCCCAAGAAGTTGCAGTGTCTGACAGGTTTGTAGATGAATGGTTCAGAGAACCGACATGTTGATAAATTAGACACATGTGCAACTCTTGGGTATCTTTATTGAGGAAACGTTTCGCCACACAGTGGCTTCATCAGTCCATACAAAGGAGAATCTTGACTTCTGCACCTCTCCTGCCAACGGTTTATAAGCTCCTTCTCAGCACGTATGCCGTATTCTATTCAAGATTGATGGACTGACCACATCGACTCAAGGTTGAGGGACTGATTACCTCATTCTCCTCCTGTTCTTCAAGATTCTCCATTGTATGGACTGATGAAGCCACTGTGTGGCGAAACGTTTCCTCAATAAAGATACCCAAGAGTCGCACACAAAACCTCCTTTACCCCCCTCCCTCCAACCTTTCCAGCCACCCCTACCACCCCCGCCTTCCTCCACTACGACTGATACACTCTTGACGTCATTCTGTTTCGCTCCATTCTCTCTACATGGTCCGAAACACCTCAACAACCCTTCCTTCAGCCCTCTGGGACAACAGTTTTGTAATCCCGCACCTCCGCCCAAACATTTCCAAACTCCGAATCTCTGCATTATATTCACACCACACATTGCCGTCCAGACCTGACAATCACGCCTCCACCTTCTCTCGCGCAACATTCATCACCCACGCTTCAACACCCATATACGAGCGTTGGTAAAACTATACTCTCATACATTCCGCTCTTTTGCCTCCAAGGACAAAGTTCTTTGTCTCCACAACTCCTAAGTGCACCATCTCACCTTTCCCCTCATCAATTCTAGATTCACCTCATCTTCATAACCCCATCCGCTTGACACGTCAACTCCCAGAATACTGAATCATTCACCGCCTCCATACTCTCTCCCTCCAATCTGATATCCAATCTTTCACACCAACTTTTGTTATCCTCATAACCTTACTCGTTCCTGTAATCCACTTTTAATTTCCTCTTTTCATACACTCACTACCAAATTCATCCACCAATCGCTGCAACGTCTCTTCAGAATCTCCCAAGAGCTCAGTGTCGTCATCAAAGAGCAACTGTGACAACCTCCAAAATTTATGTGTGGATTCTTATCTTTTAACTCCACGCCTCTTGCCAAGAACCTCGCCTTTACTGCTCTTACAACCCCAACTATAAATATATTAAGCAACCACGGTGACATCACACATCCGTGTCTTAGGCCTTCTTTAAACTGGGAAATATTACATATAATATATATATGTATATATATATGATATTATACATATATATAATATATATAATATATATATATATATACATATATAGATATAATCAATATAATATTTTATAATATATACATATATATATATATAAATATATATATATAATATAGATATATATATATAATTAATTTTTTTTTCCAACAAGTCGGCCGTCTCCCACCCGCGGCAGGTGACCCAAAAAAAGCAAGAAATACCCCAAAAAGAAAAATGCTTCAATTATTCAACACTTGCACCACACTCACTCATTATCATCTGTTTTTGCAGAGGTGGCTCCAGATGCAACATTTAGAAGCAAATACGTATAAAGATACACAACATATCCCTCCAAACTGGGGCGCATTCGAGTACATGATACATGTTCTTCTCCAATCCATGATGTGGTGTTAGTGGTCATCCAATACAAGTTGTTATTGTTGAGTAATTACCTATGCCTAATCTGATAAGATATAATATATATATAGATATAATAAATATATATATATATATATATATATATAATCATATATATATATAATATTATATATATATATATATATAAATATATTTATAAGAGATAATATAAATATATATATAAATATATATATATATATAAATGCTAGGTGTTTGGGAGAGGGGTGGGATAAATTATGGGGAATCCAATTCAAAATGGTATTGACACAGTTACTTTTGCGATGATACTGTGCTTATGGGAGATCTAAAGAAAAATTGGCAAAGGTTAGTGATGATTTAATTGAGAATGTGAGTAAAGATATAGAAGTTTGAAGTGAACTAGAAAAGAGTAAAGTGGAAAAAAGGAGGTCTCAAATTATTTAGATAAAAGAAAAAATGGATATCAAATTGGGGAGGAGGAGTAAGGAAGAAGTGATTGTGTACAGATACTTGGGAGTTGACGTGTCGGCGGAATGGATTTATGAAGGATGCGGTTATCCATAAATTGATGAGGGAAAAAAGGTGAGAGGTGCATTGAGGTAATGTGGAGTCAAAAAACGTGATCTATGGAGGGCAAAGACGGGATTGTATAAAAGTTATATAGTACCAACACTCTAATATGATGTGAAGCTTGGTGGTAAATTGCAGCAAGCGAGGAGAACGGATGGAGCAGTGAGATGTCCTGTCTAAGGGCAGATGTGTGGTGGCAAATTATTATTCAGAAAAAGCGGGGGTGAGGAATTTAGGAGAGGTGTGAGTTAATAAAAGCATTAGTCAAGGGCAGAAGAGGGGTTTTTGCGGTGTTTGTCAGTAGAGAGAGAATGATCAAAGTAAATGACGATGGAAAGCATATACAATCTATAGGGAAGAAAAAGAGGGTAAGGGGTCGTCCACGAAAGGGTTGGAAAGAGGGGGTAAGGAGTTTTTGTGGGCGAGGGGCTTGGACTTCCAGCAAGCGTGCAATGAGCGTGTTAGATAGAGTGAAGGGAGACGAAATATACTTGGGACCCGGACGATCGGTTGCGTGTGAGCAGTAAATTTAGTGAAGGGATCAGGGAAACCGGTTATTTTCATATAGTCGACTTGAGTCCTGAAATGGGAAGTAACATGCTTGGACACTTAAAGAGGGGTTTGGGATATTGGCAGTTTTTGGAGGATATTTGTGTATCTTTATACGTATATGGCTCTAAATAAACTGTAGTAATTCTAGCACCTCTGCAAAAGCATGATAAGGTGGTGAGTGTGTTGAAAGTGTTGAATGATGTTGACATTTTTGCATATTTGGGAATTTTCTTTTCTTTGGTTGGGTCACCTGCCTCGTGGAACGACCCCGAACTTGTTGAAAATAATATATAATATTATATTATATATTTATATATATATATAAAATATATTTATATAATATATATAGATTATATATTTATTTTATATATATATATATATAATAGTAAATAAGGAGTAAAGGGGGGCAGCTAGAACCGGATGGATCATGAACAGAAATGTTAAAAGCAGGGGGGGATCTAGTGTTGGAGTGGTTCGTACTTTTGTTAATAAATGATGAAAAGGGAAGGTAAAAACTAGGGATTGGCGAGAGCAAGTATCGTCCCTATAATCTAAATACAGGGAAAAAAGGAAATTGTAAAAAATATAAGGGAATAAAGTTTTCCCTGATATACCAGGTAAAGTATAAAACGGTAGGTTATAATTGAAAGATTTAGAGGTCAACAGAATGTAGGAGTGCGGATGAGCAGTGAGGCTTCAGAGTCGGGTATGGTTGTGTAGAGCAAGTGTTTTACAATGAATCATATAGGTGAACAGTATTTAGATAAAGGTAGGGTAAGTTTTTTATTTGCATTTATGAGGATTTAGAAAAGGCATATGACTAAAAGTGGGATAGAGGAGCAATGGGCAATGTTGCAAGTATATGGAATAGAGTTGTAAAGTTTACTAAATGCAGTACAGAGCTTTTATGAGATATGAGGCTCAGGTAGGGTATGTAGAAGAGAGGGGGAATACTTCCCGTAAAATAGGATCTTAGACAGGGATGTGTAATGTCACCATGTTGTTTAATATATTTATAGATGGGTTGTAAAAGAAGTACATGGCTAGGTGTTCGGAGAGGGGTGGATTAAATTATGAGGAATCAAATTCAAAATGGGAACTGACACAGTTACATTGTGCTGATGATACAGTGCTTTATGGAGATTTCTAAAGACAAATTGCAAAGGTTTTGAGATAGGTGAGAATGTGTGTAAAGGTAAAAGTTGAGTGTACTTAGACTCTGGAAGACCTGTTTGTGCGCTCTTTATACGAATTGAACAAGAATGGCCCTCCATCGAGCAACTGTACCAACAGCCTTAAGGAAGAATTGAGGATGGCGAAGTTTAAGATTCGGCGACTGTCCGAGGAAAAACAAAGATTCGTAGTAGTCCATCCTGTTTTGAGGTCCTCAGATCAAGAAGGAAACTGTCAGTGGTGGACACCGGAACGAAGTTGACGAACAAGAAGCGAATGGAAAAGGTAGAAAACGATGAAGAAGAAAGAGACTGTCGTTGAAACTGATGTGGAAACATTTAATACATTCTCAGTGCTCCCCGCCGAATGTGAGTCGACTACTGGAACATCACGACGACCGACACCAAGGAAGGTAAGAATATTGTTTGTGTTGGGGATAACCCTGTTAGGTATATTGGATAGGGCGTTCCTGCTGAAGGCACAGAGTAGGAGACAGAGAGTTTCTTTTCCTGGGCTGGGATGGATGACATAGTTAGCCGTCTGGGATGACATCATGAGCAGGTAATGGAAACAATCCTATTAATCTGTCTCATGCTAGAGGCAACGATGTTGGCAGACGTAGGAGTGAAACCTGATTACAGGTAAAAGGTCAGCAATAGAAATAATTAGATTAAGTGTGGGAACCCTGTCATATGTTGGGTATTTGCCAAGGAGAGAAGTTGGAAAAGACTGGTATTCCAGTGGGCAATTCGTTGTCAATTGCTGCTGACAAATACTGTAAGAAATGCGGTAACCTTCATTGACCAACTGGGACCTCTTTCTTTGGCAGAAAAGACATTACTGCCAGGGATGGGTTCACATTATCTAGGTCTGGGGTGGTAGCACTGGCAACTGCCGTGGAGGAGCTGTTAGGGAACTTTAAACTCAGAATAGTCTAGTGGATGGGATTTTGGGCAGGAAAACAGTGAAGTCCCAGATCGTAAATTCGAGTTCTAGGGAACAAAAAAGTAATAAGCAGAACGAGGTAAGATATTGAAAAAGCAGGGACTTTAGGGTGCATAAGGATAGTAATAGGTTTTTAGTAAAAAACAGAAATGAGCAGATTGGCAAAGAGAAAGAGAGTCTTCAATGATTATTATGCAAATTGCCGTAGTGGTAGGAATAAGATGGACGAGTTGATTAATTGCTAGTGCAGGTAACATTGATAGTATATGCCTTAACTAGACGTGTGCTTAATTAAAAAAGACGGGACATGCCCTGCGGAATGTCCTATTCAGGTTTTCAATGGTTCCAAGTAGATAGAAGTAATCGGGAAGGGGGTGGGGAGGCATTTATGTCCGAGATCTGGTTGAACTGTTGCATAAAACGGTATTAAGTCGAAGTAACACATACCAGTCTGTTTTGGAATAGAATTTTCAGAGGGGCATGAAAAACTGATTTTAGGAGTGATATACTGTCCCCCAAACTTAGATAGGGATCCAAGGAGACTACTATGGGAGGAAATTGTTTAGGCCACAAGGCAACGTAATGTAGTAATTCTAGGAGACCATTAACTTAAAAGTCATATTGATTGGAAATTTCTTGACTGGAGAATTTATAGATCATCCGACTTCTTAGAAGTATTCAGGATTTGTTTTTTGAAGCAGTTGTGACAGAACTGCAAGGAAATAACCTGCTTGACTTAGTTAGCAAACAATGAATCCTTGGTTTAATAATTTATAAATTCCAGAAACTGGTGCTAGCGAACCACAATCAATTGACCTTTAGCATTTGAATGGAAGTACGATAGTAGCGATAACTCAGCAACAGTCCCAGGTTTTCGCTTAGCAATTCCGATGGGCTTAAGAAACACTATCAGCTGTTTTTGACTGGGGTAACGAAAGTGAGCTATCAATATGATCAGTTTTCTGAACACTATACATGCTGCTTAAATACGTTTAAATCCCATATATAAAAATTTAATCATATATCTACTAGGACAATAAGAAAGGAATTATGAGGCGGTATCAAAAGAGTGAGGGTCATCTTATGAATCAGAGATTTGACATTACGAGGGACATTCAAAAGGGATAAGAAAAGCTAAAAGGGACTAAGAAATTTAAAGTTTGCTAGGGATTCTAAAGAACAAACCCCAAAAGTTTTTTTCCAGGTCTATAGAATAAAATTAGATATAAGATAGGTCTCCCGTAAAAATTACTAGGGCCCTCCGGACAAAGAGAATGAAATGTGCTCGATATTTAATAAGTATTGTCTCTCATTTTTTACACAGGAAACACGGACAATATTATTTTCCAGTAATTAATTTGTTTATAGTGGGCTAGAAGAAGATAAATATGTAACATCACAGTCCACTATGAAATGTTTGAAGCGATAGACAGACTGAAGCAAAATCACGCCGGTCTGATGAGGTTTTTTTCAAAGTTCTTAAGAATGCAAAGATGGAACTCTGTGAACCATTAACTAATATATTTTAATATCTCTTCAAACAGGTGTAGTGTCTGATATTGGAAGACGGCTAATGTAAATTTCTTTTTTTTCAAAACAGGACAATCGTTTAACCTAGTCAAATTACCGCCCAATAAATCCTGACCTCAGTTGGAGGCAAATTACTAGAGTCTATCATAGTCTGAGCTTATAAGACGCCATCTCGATAACATAGCTTGATTAATGATACTCAGCATGGAGTCAACCAGATGTGTCTGGCTAACTAATTTATTAACTTCTTCCAGTAAAGCATTTGGAGCTGTTGACTCACATAAAGAATTTGATATTAATTTACTTTGATTTTAGTAAGGCTTTAAGCCGGATAGAGGATCCCGCACCATAACTGTTAAAGAAAGTGGCAGCTTCATGGCATTGGGGAAAAGTGCTCTCGTGGATCGAGTCATGGCTCACTGACAGTAACTGATGAGTTTCCATAATGGGGTTAAATCCGATGGGATCAGTAACAATGGCGTCCCCAGGATCAGTCTTGGGCCCGTTGTTGTTTTAAATATATATCAATGATCTTTGATGAGGGAATTACTAGTGATATAGCAAATTCGTGCGCCGTGACGACAAAGATAGGTAGGATCATTTGATTCAAACGTTAGATGTCATGCACTGCAGGAGGATTTAAAACAAACTCTTCTTGGTAATAAAGTGCAGTGCAGTTCAATGTAGATAAAACACGTCACACACACCACACACACAAGTACAGACCCAAAACGCGGTAGCTATGAGTACGTATAAGTTAAATGATTAGAACTTACCAAACAGATTGGCGAAAAGGACTTGGGGTTAATGGTGAGCGGGAACCTAAACCAAGACAGCAAGGCCGGAGCGTACGTAACTAAGCAAATAGATTACTGGTATTTATATCAAGAAGTCAAGAGGTCTACTGCAGCTTTATACATCATTAGGTCAAGGGCCTCGCCAGATTAGGCACTCAGTTCTGAGCGCAATATTATCGAATGGACAGAATTCGTTAGAAAAAACATTCAGCGTAGATGACAAAATTATTACATACATTAGATCTTCCTATGATGAAAGAATGAACATTAAAATGGTTATAAAATACCCACAGGTTGTTAGGTAAGACACATTTGCAACAGTTTAGGTAGCTTATTATGAAACGTTTTTCGCCTACACAGTAGGCATCTTCAGTCAAGTACAGAAAAGGTGATAGAAGCAGAGATACTTGAAGACGATGGAATCAGTCCGATCACCCTTAAAGTTTTGAGGTGGTATCCCTCAGTCTGGAGAAGACATTGTTCCATAGTATGAAACAATAAAAACAAAATGTATTCATACTATGGAACAATGCACTTCTCCAGACGAGGGACTGACCACCTCAAAACTTAAAAGGTGATGGACTGATTACATCGTCTTCAAGTATCTTTCTGCTTCTATCAACTTTTCTGTAACTTTCCTGAAGAAGCCTACTGTGTAGCAAACGTTTTCATAATAAAGATACCAACTGTTGCATATGTGTCCTTACCTGAAAAAGATTAAGACCTCTTAAGTTACATCACTTGTTAGACGAAGAATGAGGGAGGACCTGATCGAAGTGTATAAGTGGAAGATAGTTATTATAAAGGGATATTAATAAGGTCTTGAGGATGTCTCTCCAGAAAAACCCTCTGTAATGGATTTTAATTAGATAAGTTTAGATTTAGAACGGACATAGGAAAGTATGGGTATGGAAATAGGTAGTTTGAAAGATGAACAGTCTACCTAGTTGGTTATTGAGGCTAGGACTTTGGTATTTCAAATTAGGTTAGGATAAGTACATGAGTGGGAGGGTTTGGATTTGAGTGGGACTTTCACATCAAGCTTATTTCTTGGGTGGCATTGAAAATTGAGGGTTGGGCCAATGTTTTGGGTTAGTGGGATGAATTGTAAAAGACCTGCCTAGTATGGCCAACATGCCATCCTGCAGTGTTCCTCTCCTTTTTATGTTCTTATGTTCCTTATGAGTAAGGGATGAGGTATCAAATGATTTTAGATAAAGAAAATGATATCAAATTGGGGGAGAGTAATGGAAAGAAGAGAATGTTTCAGATACTTGGAGTTTGACGTGTCGGCGAATGGGTTTCAAAGAAGGATAGTTAATCATAGAACTGATGAGGACAAAAAGGTGAGTGGTGCGTTGAGGTATATGTGGAGTCAAAAAAAGTTATCTATAGAGGCAAAGAAGGGAAGTATGAAAGTATAGTAGTACCCCAGCACACTTATATGGATGTGAAAGCTGGTGGAAATGCAGCAGCGGGAGACGGTTGAGGCAGTGGAGATGTCCTGTATACGGGCCATGTGTGGTGTAAATATTATCAACAATTCGGAGTGTGAAATAAGGAGAAGGTGTAAAGTTTTTTAATAAACGCATTAGCCAAAGGCAGAAGATGGTTGTTGATGGGTTTGGTCATTTAGGAGAATGGAGCAAAGTAAATGACATGGTAAGCATAAAATCTATAGGAAGAAGGAGGGTAGGTCGTCCTCGAAAGGGTTGGAAAGAGGGGTAAGGAGGTTTTGTTGGAGCAAGGGGCTTTGGACTTCCAGCAAGCGTGCATGAGCGTGTTTAGATAGGAGGAATAGACAATGATACTTGACCTGACGATCGTGTAGGAGTGTGGCAGGTATATTTAAGGAAGGGATTCAAGGGAAACCGTTATTTTCATATAGTCCGCCTGTGATTCCTGGAAATGGGAAGTACAAATGCCTGCACTTAAAGGAGGTGTTTGGGAGAATGGCAGTTTGGAGGGATATGTTGTGTAGCTTTATACGTATATCATCTAAACTGTGTAATCTGACACCTCTGCAAAAGCGTGATAATGTTGTGAGTGTGGTGAAAGTTTGAATTGATGATGAAAAGTATTTTCTTATGGGGATTTTCTTTCTTTTTTGGGTCCTACCTCCCTCGGTGGAGACGCCGACTTGTTGAAAATATATAATATATATATATATTATATATATTATATATCATATAATATATATATATAATCTATATATATATATATATATCTATATTATCTATTTAAATAAAATATATATAGATATCTATATAAATATATATATACTATATACATATATATATATATATATTAATCTATATATATTATTATATATATATATATATATATATATCTATATATATAACTTTATATATAAAATATATATATAATATATAATATATAATATAATATTAGATTTATATAAAAATATAAATCTATAATAAATAAAATATATATACATAAATAAATAATAAATATAAACTCTCAGATTAGCATATGGTAATTACTCACCAATAACCCTAGACCTGATTGGATACCACTAATACCACAATCATGATTAAGAAGAACATCGTGGCATGTACTCGAACGCGCCCCCAGAGAAGAAAGCTCCTCCGTGGATCCAAACCATCACTGGAAGCTCGGGCTCGGAGTCTTTATCCTACAGTAAAAAGACTAATTAATATGAAGTAAATCATTTTAATGCACAAGTAAAGACTAACGTAAAAGCTTAAAGTGCAAAGAAATATTTAATTGTAAGATAAAGGGATATATAAGGGTTTCTATAGCTTATCGTTACTCTTAATGAACATAAGGTAAATGGAGGGAAAAATGAATAAAGTTACATGTAAAATTATATTAAAAGAAAAAAGAAATCTCATGTAAATTATACCCCTATGTTACTAGCATTAACACAGTAAAATTTGTCATACTTGTAAAAACTTTTGTTTAAAATCATCTACATTTTGAATATTCACTCTATTGAGTTGTAAGAACTATAATAATTTTAAAACAATATAGTTGATGGGTATTTTCAATTTCATAGATTTGTAATATTGTCAATTCATTCTTATCCCGAGAACGCCACTAAACAATTACTGAGATAATTATACCAAAGTTTAGGGGACTGTAACACAAATAGCTGAGAGAAATAAATTTATTTTCGTTATTAAAAATAAAATAATTACTTTTCTTAGTTTCATTACTCTTTAGCCACACATTAATTTATTGGCGTTCATCTTAAGATTTTCACTTGGAAATTACAAATTATTCAAAGGGTAACTGTTAGAACAATAATTCCGTTCAATGGGGAAGTCTGGAAGCAGATAGAGGGATCAGGAGCTGGAACAGAACTTCCGTCCATTCTCGGATGAACCTAATTGTCATTTACTCACCAGACCACTATATAACCCCTATATATATATATATTTATATATATTATATATATATATAATATAAATATATATATCTATATATATATATAATATATATAGTAATATGCAATACGATCACAGTAAATCAGGTATTTTAAAATATACAAAACAACCACAGTGAAAGAGTAGTGAAATTCCAAGCGATTTCGTGACTACTCACATTGTCAAGGAACTATGAAAGTAATACATCAAAGGAAGTCAATTAAAGGGCTTTTAAAATCAAAGACTTTTAATATTAAAGTTGTATTTTTAAAAATCTTGATAACAGTACAAAACACTTTTGATTAAGAATTAATCCCAAAATGCTGACGGATGTGTTTATAAGACTCCTTTTAAAATTTGCGATAAAGTTTATTACGGTCAAACTGGTAAAAGTCTCGAACTTAGATTAAAACAACATAAATATAGCATTAGAACTGGACAAGATTCCAATGCTCTATTGATTCATGTGGGATGGTCGTAGGACCTCCTAGTGGACCAGCGGACCTACTGCGTGGTTCCGGTTCTATAGATCCGGTATTATCGCGCGTCAGAGTGTTTCTTTGTTGTGGGAGTTGCTGTGAGTGTGGGTCCTAAGCCCTTAATTGCCTTCTTTGTTGTATTCCTTTCATAGATCCTTGATAATGTGAGTAGTCACGAAACCTTTTTTAATTTCACCACTTTTTTACAGTGGTTTAGTTATGCAATATATATATAAATATATATATATATATATATAATTATAATATATATAAATATATATATATAAATATATATATATATGTCGTGCCGAATAGCAGAACTACCATCTTGGCTTACATAGCAACACTCAATCTTGCCATATAGGACAAGCGAAAATTTGTGTATGAATAATTCGGCAAGGCACCAAAAAACTCTGAACCTAACGATAAAAAATATATTTCACTTGTGCTTGTTTAGTATTAAAGTAATTGTAAACAAATCTAAAATATATTTTAGCTGGGTTAGGCTAAAATAAATTATTCTTGTTATAGAAAAGGTTAGGTAAATTATCTAGATCTTTTAGTGCAAAATTATAAATTTTTACTGTAACATATGAAAAAAAGATATCTTTAAAACGAATAAGAGAAAATATTTAGAAAGGACTAAACTTAAATGAGTTCTTGCTAATAGACCCATTGTAACAATTCGGACACGACATATATATATACATATCATATATGATTATATAGATATAATATATATCTATATATATATAAATATATAGTATATAAATGATATAAATATATATATATATAGATATATACATATATATAATATATATAGAATATGGTGGTTAATTTGTAGGGTGTGCAAAAGAAGAAAATCCAAGTGGAATACAGGAAAGAGTAAGGTAATGAGATAACATAAAATTAGGTGATAGAAAGAGTGGATATCAGATTGGAGAGGAGTATCGGAGTGAAATTATCAGATATTGGGAGTGCCGATGTCCAGCGGATGGGTCATGAAAAGATGAGGTGCTCATAGAACTGATGAGGGGAAAGGGTGAGTGTGCACTTAGGAGTCTGTGGAGACAAAGAGCTTTGGTCCTTGGAGGCAAAGAGGGATCTGTATGAGAGTATAGTTTTTTACCAACGCTCTTATATGGGTGTGAACAGGTGATGAATGTTGCAGTCAAGGAGAAGCTGGAGGCATGGAGATGTCATGTCTGAGGGCTATATGTTGGTGTTAATATAATACAGAGAATTCGTATTTGGAGTTAGGATGGAGGTGCGGGATTACCAAAACATGTTGTCCCAAGGGCTGAGGTAGGGTTGTTGAGGTGGTTCGGACATGTAAGAGAATGACGAAACCGTAGTGACTTCAAGAGTGAATCAGTCTGTACGGAAGGAAGGCGGGTAGGGTCGGCCTAGGACACAGGTTGGAGGAGGGGGTAAAGGAGTTTTGTGAGCGAGGGGCTTGGGACATCCCGCAGCATGCGCGAGGCGTGTTTGATAAGGATAATGAGGACAAATGGTTTTTACTACTTGACGGTGCAGTTGGAGTGTAGCAAAGTAACATTTTTGAAGGGTTCATGGAAAACCGGCAGGCCGGACTTGAGTCCTGGAGACGGGAAGTACAGTGCCTGCCCTCTGAAGTAGGGGGTGTTAATGCTGCAGTTTAAAAAAAACTGTAGTGTAAAGCACCCTTCTGGCAAGACAGTGATGGAGTGAATGGATGGGTGAAAGTTTTTTCTTTTCGGCCACACCCAGCCTAGGTGGGCATCGCCAGTGTGATAATAATAATAATAATATATGTAGATATCTATATATTAAATATAAAATATAAATATAAATATATATAAATATATATATGGTGTGTGTGTGTGTGTGGTGTGTTTGTGTGTGTGTGGTCATGCCGATGGTGTAACAGTTTCGCTTTTGGCTTAAATAGCAACGCTGTTCTTGCCGAATAATGAAAGCGAAAATTTGTGTATGCAGTAATTTCGCAAAAATCATTCTGAACCTAACAAAAAAACATATTTCATTTTATTTGATTATTTTTAAATTATTGTAAACCTATCGAACGGGGCACAAGACTGATCAACTGCCTCCCAGCATACATAAGGGGGATTACCAATAGACTGATGGCTGTCTTCAAGACTTCACTGGACAGGCACCTAAAGTCAATACCTGACCAACCTGGCTGTGGTTCGTACATCAGTTTGCGTGCGACCAGCAGTAACAGCCTGGTTGATCAGACCATGATCCACCAAGTGGCCTGATCTCAGACCGAGCCACGGGGGCGTTTCACGTGATCTCAGACCGAGCCACGGGGGCGTTCACCCCCGAAACCTTCTCCAAGCAAATATGAAAAACCGGGACATGCATGCTGAATACCACATTCAAGGATTTAAATTGTTCCCAGTAGACAGAAGTATCGGGAAGAGGAGTGTCGGGGGGCGGGGGGCACTGTATATTCAAGATCACTTGAACTTTTGCATAAAAACGGGCATAAAGTCTTAAATAACACATACACACTATGTCTGGATAGAATTTTCAGAGGGGCTCGAAAAATAGATTTTAGGTGTCATATACCGTCTCCCCAAACTTAGTAATGGACCAATGGAGACTACTTTGTGAGGAAATTGTTAAGGACACAAGGCACGATAACATAGTAATTCTAGGGGACTCTTTAGTCAGCTTGAGTGGAAATTTTTGACTGGGAATTTAGAATGTAACGACTTCTCATAAATAGTTCAGGATTGTTTTTTAAAACAGTTTTTGACAGAACCTACAACGGGAAATAACCTGCTTGACTTGGTTCTGGCAAACAATGAAACTCTTGTTAATAATTTAGAAATTACAGAGGAACTCGGCGCAAGCAACCACAAATCAATTACCTTTAACATTAAATGGAAGTGTGATAGTGGGGATAACTCAGTAACGGTCCCGGATTTTCCTTTAGCAGATTACAGTGGCCTTAGAGAACACTTATCATCTGTGGACTCGGGTAACGAAGAGAGCTATCAATATGACAGCTTTCTAAACACTACATGATGTCCAAAAAACATTTATCCCATATAAAGAAATTAGATCTAATAGAAATGACCCAAAATGGATGAATAATAGGCTCAAACATCTTTTAGGGCAGAAGAAAGGAATTTATAGGTCATCTTATGAATCAGTATGTTGACATTAAGAGGGACGTTATTAAAAAGAGATAAGACAGGCTAAACGGGAATGCGAAATTAAAGTTGCTAGGAATTCGAAAAATAACCCAAAAGGTTTTTTCCAGGTTTATAGAACAAACGTTAGGGAAAAGATAGGTCCCCTTAGAAATAATTCTGGGCATCTTGCTGAGAAGGAGAATGAAATGTGCTCGATTTATAATAATTATTTTCTGTCTGTTTTCACACTGGAGGACACTAACAATATCCCAATAATTAGGTTAGCTAGTTATGAAACAGATAGACCGATTATAGCAAAATAAATCCCCGCGCCCTGATGAACTTTTTCAAGGGTTCTTAAGGAGTGCAAAATCGAACAGGTGTAGTCTCTGATATGAGGAAGATGGCCAATGTAATTCCTATTTTTAAAGCAGGAGACAAATCGTTACCGTCAAATTACCGCCCAATAAGCCTGACCTCAATTGTAGGCAAATTATTAATGTCAATTATAGCTGATATTATAAGAAGCCATCTTGATATGCATAATTTAGTGAATTATACTCAGCATGGATTCACGAGGGTCCGTTCCTGTCTAACTAATTTATTAACTTTCTTCAGTAA